TAACGACTACTTACCGATTTTATTTATCGAAAATAAATATATATTTATAGTGCACTTCAGTACTTCAGTAAATTAAAGATAAAATAATTTCAGAAAGAAAACACATATCAGTTATGAAATGTTTATTTATTTAATTTTAAAATGGTTTCCCACTACCTTAACAAATTCAATGTTTGGAAATTCGTGTGCGTCTAGCTTTTTGATGCAATTATCCAGAAAAACTTTATTAGTTTTAGTTTGTCTTGTATTTCACCAATAGAAGGGCAGTCTGATAAAATTATTATTGTTATTGTGGTGTCTATAATATATGAATAATATTAAGATTATAATGTGATGTGAGGCTGTATTATTTAAACAACTCTTTATGACTTTATAGTGGCAATTAGCACTCAAGGTTCGCCGCCGTTGGGAGGCAATTGAATTCGACATACCGAAACTTTTAACCCTAATTAAAAATAGGTATATGGGAGGGAACTAGGTATTATCCGTTTGGTCACTTTAGAAAGTATTTGATTGTTATAAGGTGCTTTTTGAAAAACTATTGTTCGAAATGGAAAAAGAATTTCTTACGTATAGTTAAGTAAACTTCGTATAGAAATGACAGCTTTTAGTGCAAAACATCCAAAGACTGTCGTAAGAAATACACCCATGTTCCAAAAGATCCATTGTGTTATTGAAAGATCGTTCTGGACGACGGATCGCTTAATTTCGGGCTCTATCCGATCCTCAACGTAATCAATCACATCGAATATTTTTTTATCTTCTGCAATTATAAGCAAATCGAATAACTATCGTTGGTAAAGTAACTAAGTAATAAATAATAATTGATCATTTGTTGTTGACTTGAGGATACTCTCAGTGGCAAGGATGTTACTCAAAACCTCCCTATACTATTGGTCATATGACTAAAACTTAACATGGGTAGTATCACGACGTCACTACGAACTATATCGATGTCTAGCAGCAGGGCCAGTAAAAGAAATTGAATTGTGTAACGTAAAAGGATTCGATTAAGGGTTGGACTTGAGATGAAATTGAATTTGAATCATCGGAGGGTTAACAAAAATAATGCCAGAAATTACTTCATTGATGCCGCATTCTAAAACCGTTAATACTATGAGATTTTACGTACTTTCTTGCATAATTATCACTACTCAAAACATAGTGGATACCTCTCATCTCCCAATAATTTCACGAGCGCTTTTTTTATGTTTAAATTATTTTATCTATTTTTAGCAAAAATAACGCCGAAAGATTCCTAATTGATACCGCACTTGAAAACAGTTAACATTATGAGATTCTACGTACTTTTTATAAAAATTATCACTTCTCGAAACTTAGTAGATCTCTTTCATCTCTCAATAATTTCATGAGCGCTTTTATATGTTATTATAACTTCTCTAAACTTAGAAGACATCTTTTATCTACTAGTAATTTTACGAGCGATTTTCTAAGTTTAAATTATTTTATCTATTTTAACAAAAATAACGCCGAAAGGCACCTAATTGACACCGCACTCGAAAACCGTTGACATCATGAGATTCTACGTACTTTTTTATACAATTATCACTTCTCAAAGCTTATCAATTACCTTTCATTAACCAGTAACTTCGCGAGCGCTTTAGTATATTTAAATAATTTTATCTATTTTAATAAAAACAACACCAAAAGTACCTAATTGACACCGCACCTGAAGACGGTTAGCATCATGAGATTCTACGTACTTTTCTATGTAATTATCACTACTCAAAATATAGTACATTCCTTTCATCACCCAATAATTTCACGAGCGCTTTTTGAATTACTTTACGTATTTAAGCAAAAATAATGCGGGAAAATACCTAATGGATAACGCACATGAAAGCGGTTGGCATCATGAGATTCTACGTATGTTTTTATGTAATTATCACTTCTCTAAACCTAGAAAATTACTTTTATCTACCAGCAATTTTACGAGCGCTTTTCTATGTTTAAATTATTTTATATATTTTAGCAAAAATAACGCCGAAAGGTACCTAATTGATACCGCACTTGAAAACGGTTAACATCATGAGATTCTACGTACTTTTTTATACAATTATCACTTCTCAAAGCTTATCAATTACCTTTCATTAACCAGTAACTTCGCGAGCGCTTTAGTATATTTAAATAATTTTATCTATTTTAATAAAAACAACACCAAAAGTACCTAATTGACACCGCACCTGAAGACGGTTAGCATCATGAGATTCTACGTACTTTTCTATGTAATTATCACTACTCAAAATATAGTACATTCCTTTCATCACCCAATAATTTCACGAGCGCTTTTTGAATTACTTTACGTATTTAAGCAAAAATAATGCGGGAAAATACCTAATGGATAACGCACATGAAAGCGGTTGGCATCATGAGATTCTACGTATGTTTTTATGTAATTATCACTTCTCTAAACCTAGAAAATTACTTTTATCTACCAGCAATTTTACGAGCGCTTTTCTATGTTTAAATTATTTTATATATTTTAGCAAAAATAACGCCGAAAGGTACCTAATTGATACCGCACTTGAAAACGGTTAACATCATGAGATTCTACGTACTTCTTTGTATAATTATCACTTCTCAAAACTTAATAGGCCCCTCTCATCTCCTAATAATTTCACGAGCGCTTTTATATGTTGAAATTATTACACCGAAAAGTAGCTAATTGTCACCGCACTGGAAAACGGTTAGTATCATGAGATTGTACGAACTCGTAAGTTAAAAGAAAATTGCCGACAGAATGTGGAGTTTCACTGTTCTTTGAAGTATTGCCCTACCTGTATAGTAGGAAAGCGCTTGTTGCTAATTGTTAAGTATATAGTGTAGGTATATAAGTTAGGATGTACCTTCTGTAATTTTCGTGATTTTGTTGACATCGCCGAAGAAATAGTCCACAATGCACAACAAAAACCACACGATGAAACCCAAAGTGAAGAGGACCTTCCAGCGCACTAACATTTCTTACAACAAAAATTCTAAAATAATTGTAAAATTTACCCCCTTTTTTCTGTACATGACGCACTATAAATAATTATAGTATGACATAAGAGTGCAAATTTTGTTTTTTCCTTCTTTTAATTCGTCACTTGATTTAAACTAATTTAAAATGTGACTGGTAATCATTTCTTTAATAACAATCCCATTACCATATAGAAAATAGGAGCTAATATACGGACTTATTGTACTGATAAATTAGTTTTAAAAAATGGTGGCTTATATATATATAGAGTTAAAATTACATTTTTTATAATTTATTATTTTTTTTTCTTTTTTTTTCAGACTGATGATAAGAAGAATGGATTCAATCGATGATGGTAATATGTACTGTGCATGGAGATAACATGGAGGACTCCAAAATAATCAGGACAGGGTTCTAGGAAACTGTTACGAACAGGTATTATAATTAATAAAATGTACATTAATATTATACATAAAAGAAATTATGACTGCTGTCAGCACAGGGCAAAGTAATATTACGTAAATGAAATTTAGTATCAGCAATTTCTTATGCTGAAGTACGATGTGTTGCATACCCATTTACAAACAATTCCTATAAATTTTAATCATTGATTACTATACATCTATTAAAAAACCATAATGGCCGACATAAGTAACAATGTGACAACAATTGAAAAAGAATGATGGCCGACAACTGCAACAATTAGAAAAGAATGATGGCCGACACTACGTCATAGACGAGCAATAAAAATGGCCGGGGGTAGGGAGAAGATCTATTGTTTTAAAATTAATTAACACATTTTTCGTCATTTTACAGGAAATTTATTCAGTTAAGCCCTATGCCTTCAATACACTACACCCTAGTAGAAAGTCACCCTCGAAAAAGTTTGTTTCAAAAGGTACGTATAAAATTTTTTATTATTGTTTAAATTAATTTGAATATTTCAATTTTTGTTTGGTTTTAATAAAAGCTATATTACAGAATTATGTTTTATTTGTTGTAATTGCAAATAAATAAACTTTTCTATAAATTCTATAAAAATAAAAATTGGTATAGCAACATTTGAATGTAATGATTAAGTATGTAATTTAAAATTTACTAATCACTCAAATATTTGTTTGAATTTTGATTCTGATGGTGTGCATAAATAAATAAATAAAATATTTTGCCAGCTGATTCTTTTAAATTATATAAATTGCTTATTTTCGATATATTTTTAAATGCATTAAATTCTGAATAGAAACATTTACAAATTTTAAATTTAGCACTGAAT